AATGTTTGGACCACAAGCAAGAAACCTGCAGTGGACCTGCCCACCCTGTCCTCCTGTCAAGGTTGCTACTGCTTCAAGGCTCACTTCTTTCCAATTCCTAGCAATGCTGTTGCTGGACAGGGGACAGAGCCTTAGTCAACACAAAGCAGAACTAGAAGAAGAAAAGCGGAGCTAGCAAAGCAGAACTAGAAGAAGAAAAAGATCCGCTCTTGGGATTTTATTCCCCCCCCCCCAAATATAATTCTTACTACTTGTTGCTGAGTTCTTTAAACAGCTCAAGAAAGTTATCCATCCTTTAAGGAGAACTGTGATGCATTTTACTTTTTATTTTTAATACACTTCAAAAGTTACGTATAAGAACAACCACAATGCCCCCACCTTCCCATCACTGAGGGATTCTCGTTGGGTACTTCTGACACCAGTTCTTTCCCTGCTTCTGATTTCTAACATTTAATACCACCTTGCTAGAACTGAGAACTTCCTTGGTACTAGGGAATGGAAGCTTTTCTTGAGCAAAGGCTCTCCCTCTCTATTTACTGGAAGATGAGCAAAGGGCAGGAAAACAGAATTAGATTATCTAATCCAGTGGTTCTTAACCTTGGGTTGCTCAGGTGTTTTTGAACTGCAACTCTCAGAAACCCCAGCCAGCACAGCTGGTGGTGAAGGCTTCCGGGAGCTGCAGTCCAAAAACACCAGAGTAACCCGAGGTTAAGAACCACTGATCTAATCCACTTCTCCTTCTCACCAGCACTTCCTTCTGCTAGTTACGGGACTCAGGCAGCTTCTTTTTTTCTTTTTCTTGAACATGGCCATGTTGACTGAAGGATACTGAAAGTTGTAGCCCAAAAATATTTTTTAAGCTCTGCTTTTTCAGATGCACTACTCGGAGGTGGACCTGACAGAAGCCCTTTTATGCTGAAGGTCATCAGTCAGTTAACTTTGCAGAAACGCCAACACCCTATTTGGCCTTTGCTTCCCAAAAGTGAACTTTTCATCTTTTCCTGTTCCTCCCTCTCAGTAAACAGGATGACAACATGCTGCTAAAAATGGAGTACAGCCCAGGGTTTCAGTAGACTCTAAATCAGGGGTTTTAAACTCAATTTACCTGGGGGCCACTAGAGGCAGAGTCTGGGTGAGGCTGGGCCACATCAGATTTTCCGCCAAGCGGAGCAAGAGCCCGAGGAAGCCGCCCAGGAGTTTCCTTAGCCGACAGACAGGTGCAGTTCTGGATGGAGCGTGCAAGAGGTGGGAGAGAGCCGGCGAGCGAGGCAAGGCTTTTTTTTTACTCTTGACAGCAGAGGATGTGTGGGTGCTTTGGGGGGACAGGCAAGGCGAGGGCCACAAACTATCATATGGGGGGCCGCAAATGGCCCCCGGGCCACATGTTTGAGACCCCTGCTCTAAATGATTTAGATATTCTGACACACACTGGCTGAAATCCTGCTGTGTAGCTAGACCTGCATAACTCAGCGTTGTACAAATGGTAGTGAAAACTGCATTGAGGAAGAAGTCATACTCACAAAGGAATTCCACAGGCATGTTGCACAACAGTCACACTATGAGTTGCACAATAAAACTGTGCAATGCAGGCAGCATTTGCATAACAGCTACAAACTTCCACACTACTGTATAGCTTTATGTTACAACAACAGTAACAGGATTTCAGCCATTACTGTTAAGAACTGACATGTATATACAAGAGACTTAATATAAAAGAATTAAAAAACAAAGTCAACATTTTTAGTTGAAGCAGCTATCTGGCAATTCAAACCTTTTTGAATCATCAGTTTTTGTCACCATCAAGTATGATATATAAACCATCCAGAGTGGCCTTGGTAGCCAGATGGGCGGTACAGAAGTCAAATAAATAAACAAATAAAATAATAAATAAGCAACAGGAACTTGGTAGTTGGGAGTCAACTACTGACCGCCCAAAAAGAGGAAGCGGATGAAACTTTTGAAAAAGAAATTGCAGGATTTTCAGACAGACACAATGTAGTAGTGATGGGGGATTTCAATTATCCAGATATATGTTGGGAAGCAAATTCTGCCAAGTATGGCCCTTCCAAGAAATTCCTGACTTGTGTGGCTGATAATTTTCTCCTACAAAAAGTGGAGAAATAAACTAGAGGATTTGCTTTCCTTGACTTGATTCTGACCAACAGAGATTACCTGTGGGGGAAGTGGCAGTAAGGGGAACTCTAGGCGAGAGTGACCATGTCCTTCTAGAGTTCAAAGAAAACAAAAGCAGAGTGTAGCTGCACACTTCTGATGGATTTTTAAAAAGCCAATTTTAATAATCTCAGAACAAGGATAAGTAAGGTCCCATGGCAGGAGATCCTAACAAGAAAAGGAGTCCAAGAAGGTTGTGAGCTTCTTAAAGAAGAAATTCTAAAGGCAGAACTACAAACAATTCCAACAAGAAAAAAAGGTGGGAGGTGGCAAAAAAGGCCAGTGTAGCTTCTCAAAAAGCTCAGGGAGGACCTAAAAACAAACAAAAAACAAACAAACAAAATAAAGGAGTGGAAAGAAAGAAGGCCAGGCCACCAAGGATGAGTACAGTCAAGTAGCAAGGAAATGCAGGGATTGCATTAGGAGGGCAAAAGCTGAGAATGAGCAAGAGACACTAAAAGCAATAAAAAACATTCTTCAGGTATGTGAGTAGCAAAAGACAAACAAAAGACATAGTGGCAGAGCTCCGCAATGGAGATGGAAAAATGATAACAGCGGACTAAGAAAAGGCAGAGGTGCTCAATTCCTATTTTAGTTCAATCTTTTCCCATAAGGCAGACTATGAACTTCCAAACAAATTGGAAGTGCAATTTGGGGGGGGGGGCAGGATTGCAGCTGGAGATAGATAAACAAATAGTCAAGGAATACCTTACCACCTTGAACAAGTTCATATCTCCAGCGCTGGATGAACTGCATCCAAGAGTACTGAAAAAACTCGCTGAAGAACTCTCAGAACTCAGAATAATATCCTTTCTTTTCTTGAAATCATGGGAAACAGGTGAGGGTGCCAGAGGACTGGAGGAAGGCCAATGCTGTCCCTATCTTCAAACAGGGCAAAAAAAAAAAGAGGAACCTGGGAACTACAAGCCAGTAAGCCTGACATCAATCCCAGGCAAAAATCTGGACAGATCATAAAGCGGTCATTGTGCAAGCAGCTAGAAAACAATGCAGTAATAACTAGAAGCAAACATGGATTTGTTAGGAACAAATCCTGCCAAACTAATTTGATCTTGTTTTTTGATCAGGTAACCTCCCTGATAGACAGAGGGAATGCTGTAGACATAGTATATCTTGACTTCAGCAAAGCTTTTGATGAAATGCTCCATGATATCCTGATTAGCAAGCTCACTAGGTGTGGGCTGCATAGATCAAGTGTCAAGTGGATACACAATTGGCTATAAAAATGTACTCAGAGGGCGATGATTAATAGGTCCTTCTCTAACTGGGAGGAGGCAACAAGTGGGGTACCACAAGGCTCAATCCTGGGCCCGGTGCTCTTCAATATTTGTATTAATGACTTGGATGAGGGGCTGCAGGGAATGCTTGTCAAATATGCAGATGATACAAAATTGAGTGGAATAGCTAATACCTGAGAAGACAGAAACAAAATTCAAAACGACCTTGATAAGATGGAGCACTGGCCTGAAAACAGCAGAATGAAATTCAATAGGGATAAGTGCAAAGTACTGCACCTCAGAAAATGAAACCAACTGCACAATTACAAGATGGGGGATACCTGGCTCAGCAAAACAACATGTGAGAAGGATCTTGGAATTGTTGTAGATCAAAAGTTAAATATGAGCAAACAGTGTGATGTGGCTACAAAAAATTCAAATGCTCTTTTAGGCTGCATTAACAGAAGCATAGTCTCCAGATCCCAAAAGGTGCTAGTCCCCCTCTATTCAGCACTGGTTAGGCCTCACCTTGAATACTGTGTCCAGTTCTGGACACCACACTTCAAGAAGGATGCTGACAAATTGGAACAAGTTCATAGAAGGGCAACAAGGATGATCAGGGAGCTGGAAACCAAGCCTTATGAGGAAAGGCTGAAAGAACTGGGCATGTTTAGCCTTGAAAAAGATCATCCCAGAGTGCAGGACACGCAAGAATGGGCTCAAGTTAAAGGAAGCCAGATTTCAGATGACTATCAAAAAAACTTCCTAAATGTTAGAGCAGTACGACAGTGAAACCAGTTACCTTGGGAGTTTGTGAGTGCTCTAACACTGGAGACATTCAAGAAAAACTTAGATAATCACCTGGCAGATATGCTTTGATGGCATTCCTGCACTGAGCAGGGCACTGGACTTGATTGCCTTGTAAGCACCTTCCAACTTCACTTTTCTATGATTCTAAGATCAAGAGACTGCCTGCCAGAGTAACAGATGAGGCCCATTAAAATGGGTGACTAAATTACCTATTGTAAAAGAATTTATATAAATTATTTATTTAAAATATTTTACCCCACCTTTCTCCTTAAAAAGGACACAAGGCAGCTTACATCCTTGAAAGACAATATTTAAAGCTGAAAAAAAATGAGTATATAATGGTGGCTTACGTAATTAAAAGACAATATTTAAGGCTAAGAACAATAAAAAGGAAGCTTACATCGTTAAAAGACAATAGTAAGGCTAAAACAATACGTATGCAAATACTAAAAAGGAACAAACAAATACCACTCTGAGAGATGGTAAACACAAGCAGTATACAAGTGGAATCTGGAACTTAATTACTGGGGCCTAGCAAGTTCCTGTGATTAGAAAGCTGCCATCCCCCTCCTGTCTCCAAGGGTAGTAAGAACAGGCTGAATGTGAAAACCCAAGAGATGGGAACCCATATTTCAAAAGAAGTTCGGGTAAAGCTGTAGGAATAGGAAGAAGCACCCTTTCAAGTTGCTACCAGGTTCCTTTATCTGGAATCATGTTCCTGTTCAAAAAGGGAAATGTTCAACCACAAAGCAATCACTCTTTCATGCATGCACTAGACATTACCTGTATTCTTAGGTCCATCTGCATAGACTGGTCCTGGAGGCGGAGGTGCATTCTGCCATCCGTACGCTGGATAGCCCTGGTAGCCTGGTTCGGTTGGTGCATATGGCCCTGCAGGCCCTACTGGGTAGCCAGGATACGGGCCAGGACCCGGTGGTCCGACTGGCTGCTGGGTATATGGTGGATATGGGGCAGTTGGGCCCGGGCCAGGATACGGCGGAGGATGTTCGTGGTTCATGTAGGATGCCAAGCGTTTCCTAAAGATACAGAGATGGATTTTACTTTGGTTTGTTTGTTTTGATTTATCCATACATCAGGAACATGCATTATTAATTGTTACTACTGTATATCATCTTCCATATGCAGAATGCTTATTACTGCCCTCAGCCAGAGCTAAAAGCAAACATTACCAAAACAGGGAAAATGCAACTGCACCAAAAAGAAGACAGAAATAGATTTGCATAAAATGTGTGTGTGTGTTAAAGTCTAGAGAAGCAAAATTGAAAATAATAACTATAATCTCTACAAAAAATATAGTCAGTTTGAAGTTGATTTAAATCACTACTCAGAAATTCTTGATTTAATTGTCCTTGCTATAATCTAAATACACCTCCATCTCCAACAATTCTCTATTCACTGAGAATTCTACTGTTTGAAAATGTGCACATTCAGAGGAAGAGAGAGGTAAAAGCTTTCTTTCTTTACAGAAGGTTGCAGAAGAGCAACGGCTAGTGTTACCATTCTATAAGAGTCAACATCACTCAAGGAAAATATTACTGTACAAACAATCCTGGATATTTTTAACAGAAGAACTTCCAACAGTGTTAAGAAACTGGGAGAAAAAACAATTCAGTAACAACTTCCATCAGAGTTGGATGGAAAACAGGGCTAATCAGCTTTGGTAATTCTTTATTTCCATATACTACTATACAAGCATGTACCTCTGGACACACAACCCCAGTATGAGAACTGCAGCACTTTCTGATGGTATCTACTGGACAGAATGCTAGAGGAAACTGGAAACTTACCTTAAACCATCTATATCAGGGGTCTCAAACTGTGGCCCTCCAGATGTTCTTAGCCTACAGCTCCCAGAAGCCTTCAGCACCACCTCTGCTGGCCAGGATTTCTGGGAGTTGAAGTCCAAGAACATCTGGAGGGCCACAGTTTGAGACCCCTGCATATGGTTTAAGGTAAGCCTGTGGAACCTCATAAAACTGAAGAAGCTCCAATCAAAGAATTTTGGACCTTACTTATGAAACATTTTAAAAACAGATTATAAGAATATATTGGCCAGAATCCAACTGAGTATTTATGCTGGCATACGTGTAATCATGTAACTTAGAGTGGCAAATAGCCACTGATTAACAAGCCCCTCCCCCCCCGATTATGTACCTAGCTGTGTGCCGAATTAAGCTTGCAAGTAGGGATTCAGTTGAAGATTTGTTGATTTGCAGCTATTACAGCGGTGGAAATATTCAATTGGATTGTAGCCACTGTCCTGTAATAAGAGAATTAGAAGTTCAAATCCCTATTCCATGATGCAATCTTTGATCTATAATACAGTTAAATTAAAATGATCACATAGAGGGTGTTTTTCCAAATGAAAAAATGGTTTGGCAATAACAATACAATAAAATCTTGCTTCAAAATCTGAATATTTTGGAAATATATCATGACTTGTCCCTTTAAGATACAGACAAGAGACCTTGAGAACACAAGCTGCATCCTTGGCTATCTATTGCTTTGATGGAAGTTGTGAGTACGGTACATCATTTTCTTAAAGCTTTCTTTCTGGAGAGAGAGAAAAGATACATCTGTGCTTTTTTGTATAAAACTGTTTCTCTTCAACAATGTAAATTAAGATCTAAAATATTAGGATGGGGATAGGGAAGTTAATTGTAAAATAAAGGGATCCTAGTGTTACAGCAATACAACCTGCTAGCAATATATTTTGTGTTTTCATAAATGTGGTAGATGGCCAAGGATGTGGTTTGCTCTCATATTGCAAGGTATTCTGTCTACATCTTAAGGAACTGATGGATTTTATTTCATTCTACTTGTCTTCATAATTTAACCACAATTTCCTTTTTGGAAAGGCCTCACTTCTGGTTTGGTTCCATTTGATGTTTTCTTTCAATGCTCTCTTTGAATTATCTAGGGTAAATGACTACTGGATAAAAAAAAACCCCAAAGATCACTGTATGATTTAAACAATAACATATAGAATCTTCTTCCAAAGAAAATTCTTAGGCGTTCCCTCCAGATATGGAGAAAATCAGCACCACCTTCTAAACACCTCCAGCAAATACCATTACTATTCCTGAGAATGTATAAGGTATTACTTGATACAGTGCTTTATACCAATTTTATTTTATATTTAGACATGGAGAGAAAACTGGTACTGTGGTCTAATTTCTCTCTCTCTCATAGCTAGATGCTGATGGATAAAATTCATTTCTCATTTGACATTAAAGCCCCCTCTTCCCTTTTACTTGTGAACTGTTGAGACAATACATCCTTTTATCATCCACTAGCAAAAAGACCTAGGTTTGGGGGAGACAACTATAAACTCACTTTACCCTTTCTCTTTTCACTGATTGCATATGAAGATTTTGAGTGTGCAACTACACAGAAAGGGAAAGGAAATTTACTCAAATTCACTCAATTGATTGCCTTGTAGGCACCTTCCCACTCTCAAGTTGCACCAGGGAATTTGAGTCTCTTCCCTCTTCAGAGAGGAAAAAGGACAGTGTTGTTTCCAGCTGTCTGGTAGCCCTGCAGGAGGCCCAGTTACAAGGGAACTACCTAATAAGCTGTAAACAACGGTTTCCTCCTATCCTTGGTATTCACTATGTACCTTAAAGGGCACAGAAGGAGTCATAATGCAGAGGTTAAAAGAAGGATGTAGGCAGCTCTCAGGTGTGGTACCTTCTTCCAATAGCATTTGCTGCATTCATCAGCTGGAAAACTCAGCCAGGCTTAGAGAAAACTATTACAAGGAGTGATGCAAAAGAACAGAATTCGGAGACGCTACCTTGGGGCTGTGCTGGAGGGGGGGTCCTCAGAATGATAGTCCCCCTCAAGTAACTGTTCCAAGCTCTAGTGACATGGCTGCATAAAACCAAGTGAAGCCATAGATTGTTTCAGATCCTGGTCTGCCTTAGCCACAGATAACCTCCAGGCTGATAAACAGCTCAACAGCAGTTGCAGGGAAGGAAGAAACTAGAAGGGATTATGCATTAGAAGCCTGGTTCCCTATTCCTGAACAGTGCCGTGGCCTTGGCATCCTGTGTATCTCATTGTTCACTAAGTCCACTTGCAGCCCTGGTCACATGTGCCAGTGTAGCAAGCTACTATTACACTTATGTTAGCCTTAAGACTGCTAAATAAAGAGTAGTTCTGCATGTTGCCCTAATGCACCTTGACCCATATACTGTAGCTTGTTTGACCACATACTTAAGGGCAAGGGAAGCAGGTCTTACTCTAAGGAAGTGGTGCATGCCTCTGGTGTTGACTCCCAGTCTGTTAATGGCAGGTAGGAGGAAGCCAGTGTTACAGCTCAACAGGCCTACTTTAGCATTCCAAGAATAGTAGCCACCTCCCACTGAACAACAGATAACTGGACAGGTTTTCATCCCTTATCGGTTGTAATAAGACTGAAACACTCTTAGTCCCACCTCCTCCTTTAAACACAACTAGCCTGTGGCAATGAAACACTACAAAAGGAAGACACATCAGGTGACACACTTGTCATAAAGGAAAAGAGTTTTAGGGATCCTTCCTTATTTTTCTATGTAGTTGGCAGGCCTTCCTTTTTGGGCCTGAAGTCCCATTTGTCCACCAGCAAGCACTGGTCATTCCGCATGGGTGAAGAGGGATTCTTCATGGCTCATGCTAGCCTTTTTAAAAATACTCTTTATACCATCATCTCAAGAGGAAGAATGTCGCAACCCCCAAGGTGCACCTCTCTGCTTATTTACAGGCCATCCTTGCTATTCATCCGCTTGAGGTATTTTTTTCCCATGTGCCGCCTCCTGCTGCTAATGGGGGCTTTGCTTTTCAGCTGTCTGTCTGATTTGCTCAAAACCTCGAGAAGTTGAAACAGTTGCCATACCCAAAATGAACAAGCAGCAATTTTGGTAAGTGCAGTGCAGTCCTGGACCAAGCACTTGTGTGCATTAGAAACATTGCCCCCACATTACTGTTTTCCCAATGGAGTTATGGCTTCGTTAAAAACAAAAAACAAAACCAAAATGCAAGGGCCACAACATTAAATTAAAAAGAAAGCAGCAATTCAATGGATTTCTGCTTGTATTGTGGCAGAATAATAAATTAAATGGCATTTGATCCTTTCCCAGCAGATAATACTCTTCAAGGTTATTTAACAACAATGACAACAACATCTCTAAAGGCAATGTAACTGCTGAACCAGACATGACACACGATATGGGTCTGCCTCCTGGAATCCCAGCACTATGGTGAGTTCTCCTGACAATGTGTTGTGTGCTTCCCTACTTACCATCACAAGCTCAGGCTGTGGGAAACACAAGGCAGGTAGTTCAGGAAAAGGAGAAGTTAGAAACTGCTGTTCTGATGGCAGCCCCACCCTCTCTCTGCTGAGAAACACAGGAGTTTTCGTGTGATATTTCCCCCTCCTTTTTTTGGAAATGGCTTGCCTGTGGTCTACCCAATGGGTTCTTGACTGAGATAGGAATCAAACAGGAGGATTTTCCAAGGCAAACTTAGCTACAGCAGCTACTGATGAACTGCACAAGATTATTTTTCCTTATCTAATAACTCATCTCCAAGTCATCTTAAACAATGACTCTTTTTCACATGAAATCAGACTTTCTTAGAAGTCAGATCGGTAAAAGATGCTAACACAACTTTCATAATCATGAGAATGGCTGATAAACAAACTATCAGGAGCACAGTTTTGGTATCAAAAGCAGCACGTCAAAGAGCTTTCCTGTCAGCCAAGTGGGAGCTGGAACAGGGCATTGTTTTGTCCCTACCAGAAACTATGGGATTCTTGAAGCAGGCTACAGGGACTCTCCTTATTTGGGGACCAATTTGGATCTCTTCCCAAAATGTAACAGGTAGCTAGATTGTGGCCTGATATATAAATAGGTCATTTTATGCTCTACTCCAATGCTAGCAGACCTCCATGAGTATGGAGAGAAGGTGTGTATTCACAAAATTGCACAAATGTATTGGTCTCCCTGCACTCACTAAAAAAAATGGTTTTAAAGTTTCTATACTCCTTATAAAGATAGAACAGCTCCCTGAACTCATGGAGCAGATTATGGATTTAACTTTGGAGGCTTTAATCCACTCTGAATTTTTGGAAGAGTAAAATCATCCCCTCAAAGATACCAAAGGGATTACCAAAATCCTTCTGCGCAGCTCTGTCTGTACAACAGATAGACATAGTTAGCTGCAGATTGCTGCTGATTAAATACCTTTTTAATTTCCAGGTCAGGCCAGTTTACACACAAAGACAAAGTTGCATGCACCCCAATATTCCTGTTGTTCACCTAACAGTCCGATTATTTGTTTTATTTCTAACATCTCTGTCCTTGTGTTTGATGTAGAATTTTAAGAACAGTGATCCAATTAAAGAAAACTTAAGTCCAGTAGATAAGTTTTAATTGCTTAATTAATTACATTTGTAGGTATTTATATATTATTAAAATAGCAACACTGAAGATGTTTTGCTTTCAGCTGGAACATAAACTACATGGCACATCAGATACATTGTACAAGAGAAATACCCTCCATTAATATGCATCTTTTAAAAGAGTTCTACATTTTAAAAATTAGATTTCTCTGTTAACTGGGGAGACCTGCAGTGAGTTACAAAGTTGAAACTGAACTGATTAAGAACTATAACTTGTAGTTCACACTTAGTTAAGGTTTCCCCTTGACAATCTGTCCAGTCGTATCCGACTCTAGGGGGCAGTGCTCATCCCCATTTCCAAGCCATAGAGCCAGCGTTTGTCTGAGGACAGTTTCCGTGGTCACGTGGCCAGCGCGACTAGATACAGAACACTGTTACCTTCCCACCATGGTGGTACCTATTTATCTACTCGCATTTGCATGCTTTACACCAAGGCATCAAATGGCTAAAAAAACTAGGCAAGCACTTGATTGGCAATTTATTTACTGGGAAATCAAATCACAGATGTGTATCAGTTGCTAATCTTTATCTTATGCCGGAGGGCACTGATTGTAGCTATGCTTGGTAGCCACCTATTCTCTATGATGGCCACTACACTTCGTCCTTCTCCAGCGCCTCCTGCCCTGTTATGGATGTTTCAGACCTTTTCCACTGCATAGGAAATCAAGAAAGTACCTCTAAACTAATATAGACTGCTTTTCCTTTTTCACTGTTTATGAGGAGACAGTGTACAGGCATGTGGGCGTAAGTACATGTGTGTGTGAGCGTGCGCGCGCGCGCACACACACACACACACACACACACACACAGTAAGTTGT